AGAATAATAATAAAACAACTTTCAGCTGCCTGCAACAGGCAGCTGAAATTCAGCTGGCAGTGTAGGCAGCTATGTGTATGTGACTGCTACCTGTTAAAAAAAAAAAAACAGGCAGTAGTCACAAAAAAAAAATATATTTAAAAAAAATAATAAAAAAAATCGAGCGGACCCGGCTTGGCTTGGAAAAGTCCGAGTCGAATATCGGACCGAACCTAATTTTTTTGGTCGGGCTTTGCTCGGCTCGAACCCAAAAAAGCTTGCTCCAAAAAAGTTAGAGTCGAGCCTGAACTTTTTTTTTTGGACTCGAGCTCGACTCGTTGACATAGCTAATACTGTCCACGCCAAAAAAAAAAATTATGGATCCGCCCGTGCATGGATGGTCTACCTTTAATTAGATGCAATGTTTTAGTATTGGCATATTATTCTCATTCCATTCTTCCTTCAATCTTAAAATATTTCTAGCTGCCACGCAAGTTGATAGTGTATACTTGTGAAAAGTTAGGTCATTGCGAGGAAAAAGTAAAAACCCCCTTTTTAGAAAAAAAAAAAAAAGAAAAGAAAAGTGGATTAATTGCACCCACACATATAATGGATAAAAAAGTGATGGCGACAATCTTGTCTAGGTTACATTCAACTTTTGTTTTGGTCGGTGCATGTCCAAATCAACGTCCATTACTTACCCCCCACTTTCTTAAATCAAAAACCTCGTCGTTTCTTTCATTTACTTAGAGTACCATTGGCATTGAATGACTTTTTTAATGTTTAAAAAAAAGGATAATTCCGCACGCAGGTAAAACAGATATAAAAAATGCGATCAATCATATTACACCACTTATAATGCGGGCATAGACAATAAAAGGCGTGAGTAATGCGGATCTAAGCACTACTAATATGAAGTTAGAAGTCAAAAAGTGGGGTGCCTTTTATTTTTTAATTTTTAAATTAAATAAAAGGAATGGTTATTAAAAATTTTAAATATTAAAAATAAAGAAACGTCTTAATACGCTTAGGCACGTTTAATTTTGTAAGACTTGAGATTTGACATTTCTGTCTTATCACACCTTACTTCTCTTAGAACATTATTTTTTCATTTTTTATTTTATAAAAGAGAGAATTTTCAAATAGCAAGATCACATTTTAGTTTTTTCTGCTTAAAAATATTTCAAAATAAGAGCACGTTTGATACACATTAAAATGAGAGAATGCATTTTTTTTAGGTGATGTGATAGGGAATATGTGGTTGAAAAAGAAGAAAAAGTTATTGATGTGATGGAAAATATTATTTTATTAAAGAATGTATGGTTGAAAATGAGTAGAAAAATGAGAATGAAAAAAATAATGTGACCCGGCTAAGTATCATCTCAACCTCTTTATGTTACTCTTTCACTGTGACATAGGAAGTTGAATCAATCTCAATACATTTATATAATGCGAGGGACAATACTCGGCTTTCACGAATTAAAGTAACTAATCTGAAACTGAACAATATTTGTTTAATACATACATCCCCGATTTAATTTCATCCTACAACCATCTTGCCTCAAATATTCCCACATCAGCTGATAAAACTACAGTGGATGATATGCTTTTAAATATCACTATTCTCTTCGTCTATGAAAGAAAGACTTGTATTTAATCTTCATAGCTATTTTTGAGCATTTTCACTTCTGCCTACCAAAGCATCCAAATCTTCAATTAATCTTCGAACATCTCAGACATTTATTTCGTTGTTGGAAATTTCTTTTAAGAATGAGAGTTGAGAAAAAAATAAAATATATGGCCAACCATTCATCCAAGAGATTTATTATCCCATATTCATCATATTAAAGGGGATTGTCCAATTATTAAAAAAATTTGTCCTTCGTATTATTCTATAATGTTTATTATTTATTTATTTGTCCATCTTCCCAACAAAATCCACTGACTTTTTTCCAAATTAAATTAATCAAAATTCTTCTCGCAATATTTCACTCATTTGAGGGACATAAAAGTAAATAAACTAAAATTCAGTGATTTCCTGCAATGATTCCATCTTTTTTCTTACATCAGGTACTTTGCTTCTTAATATTTATACATTCAATTATGTGTACATTCTTCCCCCCCTTCTCTCTCTCTCTCTCACACACACACACATTCTTGAAAGTTAAGCAAGTGAAAATACCAACCCACAAATTTATCAAAAATGAACAGTAAAAAATCAGTAATGAAAAACACTTCAATTTTTGGTTGCAGTGATATGAAAAGAAGCTCATCTGAATTAGCCCTCCAAGAACTTTTTCCTTCAGAAGATGAGAAGAAAACTGAACAAATTGGAGGGACCGATGATGATTTTTTTGCTGGGGATTTGTCATTTTCTTGCAAGAATTTGGTTAGTTTTAATCCCTTTGAATTGATCTTTTGCACTTGAGTTACTTTCTTTTAGCTTGAATCAAGAAGAATTTATGTGATTTTGTGAGTTAAGATTTTGGTTAATTTTGATTTGGCATGTATTGTTCCAAGATAATCATTTTATGCTAGAAGTGAGTTTGAATAATACTGCTTTCTGATATGGTTACCCTTTTAAAAAAAAAATTTAAATTCGAGGGTGTGCTAAAATTTAGAGTTGAATTGGCACAAGCTTTTTAAGGGGTGGCCTAAGTATATGTTGATTAGGTGGCTTATAGGTTCGGGGACGAGTTGATGGAGCGATAGGGACGGGCTAATAGGCCCGGACCCATCCCTTGCAGTAGTGGATGTGGGCACGTTGCTGAACCACTTAAATTTGTGTACTGACTTTTCGATTTTACTGCTCACGTTTTGTACAGCAGTATTCTACTGTAAAATCATCTACTTTCTCGATCATTGTTAAAAATTTGCAGCAGTTAGTGGAATTAGCATTAGTGTGGAGGGTGAACAATTATAAACTTGTGATTCTTTTTCAATTCACTATAGTTTAGAGAGTTAGGGATTAAGGTTTAATCCGTAACATGAATAGTATCACCAAGGGAACGCTATACACACCTATCTTGGACTAAACAACAGTAGATTTAATCCTTATTCTCAACAAACTCAAGTCCGGTCAACTAGATTGGTGATCGAGCTGTCTGATCTAAATTTACTAAAGCATGAGTGAATCTTCAATTTGCTTATAATTTGTTCGATTATATAGATTTGATCAGTTATCCAGTTTTCTTAATTGTTCTGCCGTTAGTTCTAAAGTAAACTAGCTTGTTGTTCAGCCATCATCGCTGAAGTAAACTTGTAGGGGAGTATTAATCATTTGAAAAAGAAATAATATGATCATTATTTGGAGATATAATATATATTTTGAGAAAGAAAGGATTGTTTTTTGGTATTATAGCTGCGTTACAAATGAATGATTTGTAGAAAAGGGAAGCATGATTCAGTTAATCTTTTTAAGGACTCCCACATATTGAAGGAATCTTCGTGAAACATCTGGTTCCAAGAAGTTAAAAAAAAAAAAAGGGATGTAGTGTGGTCCTATTTTTGCAAAGATCTAATTGAAAAGGACCGTGTTTGTCCCTAGAGAATCATTACTTCAACCATGTTCGAAGATAAAAGATCTATGCATGAGTATCTTATCTATATACTTTCAAATCTAGTATGTCTTGTTAGCTATATATTTGCACTTCGTAAATAATCAATGTTAGAAGAAAAAGCAAAGAGAATAGAAGAGTTGTATTTCATGAGTGGATGCATATTTTTCATCAATTCTGAAATGCCCTAAAGAAGAATCAATTTGCTGTCAAAAATTTATCTGTCTCTATACTTTTCATTAAAAGAAGTATCTGTAAACATGCCATGTATACGAAAAATGACCAGTTAGTTTTAACAATCAATTTCCAAATGATGTAATTCTGAAAGTTCTCAATGCAAAAAAGGAGAAGACTCAACATCACAACTGGGGAAGACATCTGGACAAAGAGGCTTCAATTCTGAAACTAATTAAATATTTTTAACCTCATAGATACTATTATGGTATTTTACTATTTTGTTATTACTCCTTTCTGCATTCAAGTTAATGCTATTATCCTTTGAATGATTTGAATTTGTTAATTTAATTAAGAAGCAACATTTTGATGTCCTCTGCAATACCAGGAAATGATAAAAGGGTTGTCTAGTTATAGCCAATTGGCTGATAACCCGTATTTGCCCCAGAATTTCAGCGTTAAGGCTTCTAAGAATTCAGCTACAATAGATTCCCAATCATCAATAAGTGGTACGTACAATGCCACGAGTTCATTATCTGTACAACTATTTCTTTAAATCCTGCATTAATATAAAATTGCTCACTAGTGGTGCAAAGTTAACTTATCAGTGTTTAACTTCATTGTGGTTTCGCAATAGATTTACTTTATCAATTTTCAGTTGGTATTCCATCATCAGCAACTAAGCCAAAGGGCCAAGATAATCGAGCAACTGGAGCTAGCAGTGGTTCATCCCGTGAGCAATCAGATGAAGATGATCAAGAGATAGAAGCTGGTCCTTGCGAACAGAGCACAAATCCTGTCGATAGCAAACGCATTAAAAGGTACAGTGTAATCAGCCAACTATGGTTTAAGCATATTGGATACTGAAGTTGTGATTTCAGGATGGTTTCAAACCGGGAATCTGCTCGGCGCTCGAGAAGAAGGAAACAAGCACATTTAGCAGATCTTGACCAACAGGTACATATGTATCTAGGAATTAAATTCTCTGTTCAGTCTTACAATTTGCAAATCAATGTTTTACTTATCATATGTTTGGCAAGTGTTTATAAACGGACGGAATTGAGTGTTGGATAAATAGGTACTATTGTGAGTCCCACAAAATATGTGGATAAAAAATGGTAGGCAAGTGTTTATAAACACTTCTCAAACATTCTTTTAGGTTGTTACAATTTTCATAGTTTTTTCTAATTTATCTATTCTTGCTGAACGTGATTAGAAACTAGAAGGGACTTTCTCAGTCTATGTGTGCATTGTAATCTTCTGTTTTTTTCAAAAATATTGTGCAATTGTATCTTACTTTTTGCAAAGAAATCTTCTTCCGAGGAACAAATTTTCTTAAGATTGAATATGGTACCCGATTACTTAACCTGAACTAGTTTTGGTAGAAGCCTATTCGAGCCTGTTGATTTTCTTAGAATTTAGACTTGAATCCACTGTTTCTCTGGTTGATTTTGATCAAGATTTAATGAGATTTTAGATTTCATCATTTAGTGTTGTGAGAGTATTAGTTTTAAGACATGCTGGATGAGACCCATTTTTATGTGAGCTTCATCTATGTTGTAGAAATATTTTGACTATAATACCGCATGCTTAATAATGGACAAAAAGCCTCTTCACCTACGAACTTAACACTCAAATTAATAACTGTAAAGAGAATTGCAGCAAGTTTGGTAACAAAGCAAATGCTCGGATGAAGTGTAAAGTTTTCTTCAAATTAAAAATAAAAAATAAAAAAATGGAGATAATTTGTATATCTGTCAATTTTTTCTCCTCTAGTCGAACTTTTTATCTTTGAAGTAAAATATTATTAGCTAAGTTTCTGTTTCTAATAATGCTCTCTCTTTACAAATATCGATTTTCTTCACTCTGGATTTATTGTTTGGCTATAATTGGATTCACATGTACACGATCACAGGTAAACTCATTATCTTATTTTTACAAGGATAGTTTACGATACATCTTTCTTCCTTTGTTTTCTTGAATTTTCATTAAATTGTAATTGCTATTTTCCTACATTTGAATCCAAGGACGCTTTTAATAACGTGTTCTTGCAAACAAGATGTAAAGAGAACAAATGTATACCTTTCCTTGGAGAACCTGGCTAATCAGCTTTTAGATGTTTCTTTTCCGGTACCTTGTATTGTCTTGAAGATTATAGATGTCTTTAAGATTCATTAAGAACTATTTTTACGGTTTAATACAGGTTAAACAACTACAAGGCGAGTATGAAACCTTGTTCAAACAACTTGAAGATGCTACTCAGCAATTCAAAGATGCTGTGACTAATAATCGAGTGCTCAAATCAAATGTGGAAGCTTTAAGAGCCAAGGTACTCTCATGATACTTTGTTCTTCATTTTCCCTTCCTCTGTGTTGTGTTCGTGCCATAATTAGCCATTTTAGTTGTAATCATAACTGAGAATCTAGAGTTTAACTAGATATTTGTTGAAATCGAATGTAATAAACTCAAATACATCTCTCTAGGAAAATTTAATGGAAATCAAATTACAGAAAACTTACTCTAATTTTGGAATTCGACGTCAGGTGAAACTGGCTGAAGACTTGGTTGCTCGAGGCTCATTGACCTCTAGTTTGAGCCATCTTCTTCAGAATTATTTAAACACACCTCAAACATTTACGAATATCAATATTGGCCGGATGGATATTGTCTCTCCTACTATCACAATTCAGGGAGATGATATTGCTTCATACCCAGGAATAATAGATTCAACTCAACTTGAAAATTCTAATACCGTTAATGGAAGTGCCACCAATGGAGTCATCACTGATACTGTTGGCTGCGTGCTAGACATGTGGCCTTGGGAATCTCATGTTGTGCCGGTGTCGAAGTAAAAGACGTATTTTCTTTATCCTCGATCCTTATATTGAGGTTTCATCTAAAAGTTTTTGTTTTCTTTTTCTTGTTATAAACTTGTGTAGTTGTGTACTATGATTTAATTTCTTCTCCTTCTTTGTAGTTGACTACATCATCTGTGAATGTTCACATTGTAGATATTGTAAGGGCGTGTTGATGATTTATGTGTACATGCTAACTCCGGGGTTGTAAACCCCGAAGAAAACCTTGAAATCTCCTACCACACAAAATATACTCCATTCCTTCCAAATCCTTTAACCCGTCTTTATAAACATGAATCCTTGTGAAGCCTGGTGTAACAACCCTCATTCTCTCCCACGTCGATTATTTAAGTCTTAGTTGTGGGCATATAACAATTTGAATGCTCTCCTTATTGCTAGTTAAGGGCAAGTTACGTGCTTTGTATTTTTAACAATTGATATTAAACCCTGAGGGGTTATTTAATTGGTCATGTTTTGGGTTTGCTCCCCAATGGTTACCAGTTTGAGTTCACTCGGGGCCACTGAAGTGAGTACCCAGCTGTAAACTTCAGAGCCTCGTGGAATTAGTTGAGGTGCGCTCAAGCTGGTTTGAACATCCACGATTATCAAAAAAAAAAAAAAACAATTGATGTTAGAGCAAACACCGCTTGGATCATGATGCAAAATGGGGTCACTTGGAGATGGCAAAAGGTTGGGTTAGTGAAGTCGTCTAGTTGGAAATATGGATTGCCACGAACATGAATTCTTGAGGAGGGTGGATTGTAGTCACCCTTTAGCTCGACTTATGACCATATAGCTATGAGATTTCCACACGTTGCTTCCACTGCCGAAAGTCTTTTTCGTTGTGCTACTTCGCCTATGCTTGAGCTCCATTTGTTGAAAATAAGTTTTGCAATAGTGAATTTTTGAAGAATGTGGTAACTAAAAACTAGAGGAATTAAGATTCAAACGAAAAAAGGAAAAAAAAAAAAAGGAGGACGTATCAATATCACTCCTTCACTTAAAAGAGAGAATGTGAGATTCACTGTTCGTTTTTGTCACATTGGTTTTCACATTGATCTGGTTCGAAACTGGTTTCGTACTGTTCAAAAAAATTGGCCGACTTCATCTGTAAAAAAAAATTGGAAACAAAAAGTTG